GCGTGAAGGTCTGGCGGATCCCCCGTGCACGACAGTAGTCTCGCAGAAGGCGAGAAGAGAACTCTCCGCCTCTGTCAGAGTGCAGACGCAGAACAGGAAAGTCCGAGCCGAAGCTCTTCCTGAGCTGGAGACGAGCCTCGCGGATCCAGTCGATCAGCACCTCAGTGACCGCACCCTTGCTGCGCAAGGGGAGGACTGTGGTGTAACGCGAGTAGTCGTCAACCACCAACAGGAAGTATCGCTCGTAACCCTGCCCACGGACGGGGGCTGGGCCCCACACATCCATGTGAAGCGTCTGCAGGGGAGCCTCTGTCGGGGGGAAGTGGGAGGAGTGAGGAGTAGCCCGGAGGCGACCCTCGACACAGGGGACACAGGAAGGTCCTGGCCCGGAGGGGAGAGGAGGGAGAGACTGGGGAAGACCAGAGACAAGGACACGGGAAGCCATGCTCCGAAGACGGGGCAAGGAGGGGTGGCCAAGACGGTGGTGCCACAGGAGAGTCTCGTGAGACAGGAGGCGACAAGAACAGGGGGCAGACTCAGGACCTGACCGGGACGCAGCAGCAAGTACCTGACCCGACGCAGCCACCTGACCAGACGCAGGGACAGGAGGAGACTCAACGGTCAGGGTGTAGAGACTCGACCCCGGCCGACGCGAGAACGTGGCCAGGTGTCGGCCTGTGCGAGCCTCCGTGCAGTGGGTCACCCGCTGACGCGCAGGAGTGAACTGGTGAACACCACCATCCTGCAGGTCCGCTCCACTCACCAAGTTCGTAGAGAACGAGGGAAGGTACAGACCCGACAGGGTGCCCGAAGGGGCAGCCGGACACGGGAGGACAGTGGAGAAGTGAGACAGGACAGGACCCCCAGAGGGGTCAGCAAGGGAGACCGCAACCGGCCTGGCGAGCGGCGAAAGCGTAGTGCGGTCTCGAAAGAAGGAGCGAGAAGCTCCGGAGTCAAGTGTGAAAGTGAGGGAGGACGAGGACGACTCAGTACCTGAGAGCGCAGTCTCACCAGTACCTGAGAGCGCAGACGCACTGGCACCTAGAGCAGCAGCCTCACAAGCACCTAGCGTAGCAGTACCAATGCCCGGGTCGGGCTGGAAACACCGGTAACCCTCATTCTCCTCACTATAATCCACAACATACATAGCAGTAAGGATAGCATCACAATCAAGATCAAAGATCGCTACACCAGCCCTGAGAAGCTCATCCCAGCGAGGGATCTCACTAGCCCCAGGGAACTGCTGACGCCAAGCGTCCGTCAGGCGGCCAAAGCAGCGCTGGGTGGCGTGGGCACCCCCACACTGCTCACCCGCGCGATCGCCGGAACGAAGAACGTAGGTGCAGGGACCAGTACCCCCACCCCTCTGACGCCCAGCGTACCACTCACGAAGCTGCGGAGGCGAAGGGATGTCCTGTGAGCGCTGCTGCTGCTGCCGGTGCGAGCGCTGGCCACCACCACCGCCGCTACGCTGCTGGGTACCACCCCGACCAGCTCCACCTCCTCCACCACTACTGCCTCCGCCGCTGCCGCCTCCACTGCCTCCACCTCCGCCGCCTCCACCTCCGCCGCTGCCTCCACCACCACCGCTGGCACCACCACCACCGTCTCCGCCGCTGCTGCCACCACCACCACCACCACCCCCGCCACTAGTCCCGCCGCCACCCCCACTCCCTCCGCCGCCACCGCCGCCACCGCCACCGCCCCCCCCAGCTCCACCCGCGCCCTTGCCTCCCTTGCCCTTGCTGGAGCGACGTCTCCCACTAGGGGCAGACGCCGCGCCGACCGACTCAAGACCAAGCAGGTCGGCAGCAGCAGCAGAGGCAACAGAGGGCAGCAAGGGGGAAGGAGAGCACCCCTCAAAGATGGGGGTGCGAGGGTCACCACGAGAAGCACCTACAGCGACTATGCTCTTCTCCGCTGCGAGGAGGGCCTTCTCGAGGAGGTCGACGGTGAGGGTGGTGGGACAGACAGCGAGAAAGTGGTCCCTGACGACGCGAAGGGAGTCAGGGAGGCGCGCGACTACGTAGTAGAGAGCGATGTACATGGGAGGGGGGTTCCTAGCGCAGAACTCAGCGGGAAGGGCGGCGCGGTAGCGAGTGTCACTAGTGCGGAGGTGCGTAATGAGGTCAGCGACAGTGGGAAAGGCAGAGAGGTCAGGAAAGAGGTAGGGAAGCATGTGACGGCTCAGTGCAGCTGTGGCAGGGGAGGAGTAGCGCGCAACTACAGCGTCGTACAAGGTCTGAGCACTCTTGTACTGACTAAAGTGCGCACGCTCAGAGGTAGGGAGGTGGCGACGCACAGCAAGACGTGCAGCAGCATCGCGGGTGGCCCACTTAGAGCGGACAGCGGGATCAGCATCAGCAGCAGGAGCAGGAGAGGCGCCAGAGGTGAGGTCAAAGAGAGAAAGGTCATCAGCCCTGTCGCACTGTAAGAACAGCTGCAGGTCGTCTAGCCAGACCTCAAAATCAATGGCGCGACCCTCAGCGTCAAAAGCTAGGACACTAGGGGTAGCCATGACGACGACTGTGAAGCAGTGCAAGCAGTAGGGGGGAGAGCACGCAGTGACAGTGGGACTGTGCTCACCAGGCAGGGCAGGTCGCGCAGCTCGACAGAAAAGCAGAACGGCGACCGGGCGGCTCGGGTGTACAGCGGATCGGCTCCCGGGCGGCACGACGGCAGGGCGGCTCGGGTGCAGGGCGGCTCGGCTCCCGGGCGGCTCGGCTGCAGGGCGGCTCGGGTGCAGGGCGGCTCGGCTCCCGGGCGGCTTGGCTGCAGGGCGGCTCGGGTCCCGGGCTGCTCGGCGACAGGCGGCTCGGGTCGCGTAGAAGTGAGACGGGGCGGGGCCGCGTCAGGGCCGGCGGTAGGGCCGCGTAGGAGCCGGGGCAGGGCCGCGAAGGAGCCGGGGAGGGGCCGTGATAGGAGCCGGGGCAGGGCCGAGTAGGAGGCCGGCGGTGGGGCCGCTTAAGGGGCCGGCTACGGGGCCGAGTAGGAGCCAGCTGCGGGGCCGCGTGAGAGCCGGCGCGGGGCCGCGTAGGAGCCGGCGGCGTGGCCGCGTCAGGGCCGCGTAAGGGGGGGGGGGGCCGGCGCGGGGCCGCGTAAGAGCCGCGTAGGAGCCGGGGACGGGCCGCGTAAGGAGCCGGCGCGGGGCCGCGTAGGAGCTGGCGGCGTGGCCGCGTAAGGGCCGCGTAAGGGCCGCGTAAGGGGCCGGCGCGGGGCCGCGTAAGGAGCCGGCGGCGTGGCCGCGTAAGGGCCGCGTAAGGGCCGCGTAAGGGGCCGGCGCGGGGCCGCGTAAGGGCCGCGTAGGAGGCGACGCGGGGCCGCGTAAGGAGCAGGCGGCGGGGCCGCGTAAGGAGCAGGGCGGGGCCGCGACAGAGTGGGCGGCGAGGCCGCAGGGGAGAGGGCGACTCGAGGGGTCGCTAAAAAAAAATCGCGCCTCGGGGGCGCGCTTCGGTGGGCCCAAAAAAAATTTCGGTCCTGGAGGGACCTAGCTCTATACCATGTGTAAATGAGTAAGCAGGAATGAGATGAACTATGAATGAAGTGAGTACAAATATGAAACCCTAACTGGGTTGTACCCCCTATGGGATACCCCACTACAGCCTACACAGCAGTATAAGCTATAGATATATTCTGACAAAGGGGCCGTGAGAGGGGCCGCTAAGGGCGGCACGACGGTAGGGAGGGCACTCGGGGCGCGACCCGGGCAGGAGCGAAATGCGCTCCGGGCAGGAAAAAAAAAATTCGAGGTGAGCCCTAGAAAGCGTTCCCACTAGGGAACCTGCTCTGAAACCATGTGGAAATAGAAACGAGGAATGATTGCACTGAACAGCATGAGGAGTACAAGTACCAAACCCTGAAGTGTTGCACCCCATATAAGCTACCCCACTATAGCCTATACATACTATAGTATATGAGTTTGACAGGACACGCCCTTGCAACTTGGAATTTGGTAACTGAAGGGTTCTGTGAACTGTAAACGTACGCACTGGACACGCCCCTATGGTCGGTGTGAGCCTTGTTGATTGTGGTTCCAGTTCGGTGTGACAAGAGTTTGAAGTCTGAGGCGAGAAAAATTGTAACGACAGTGAATGGTCGACCATTCCGGTGTTTCTGGCGATTGCGAAGAATTTTTCGTAACGCGCACAGATCAGTCACCCCGACTTGGCTTAATATCGATGGTACTTCTTGCTAAAGTTTTACCCACTGCCTCTTTGGTACCTGCCTACCTACCGACCTTGTTCTTGCCCCCGAACGTGCCCGCCTAACCTCACTGCTTTGCTAAACACTATCTTTGTTTTCGTCCCCGAAATTCTAAATCCCCCTTCGAATGCTCCAACTGGAAACAAACATTTCGCTTTCAATTATGGGGGTGGTTTTCTGTGGGTACCCCACGTGCTGACGAAATGTGTAGGGATGTTCGCTGTCACGTTACACGTTTCGCTATCGCCTGAAGCACCTGAATGGTCGGAAAATTGCTTTGGTCATTACAATTTTACACGCCCTGACAAGTCTGACAATCTCAGACTAGGAAGCTCACCGAAAGCACAGGTCTGTCCTCGCACAGTCGCATCGCATCGCATCGCTTCGCGTCGCTCACTCGGAGATCTGTTTTCGCAAATATCCACCTGCCGTCCTTCGGTCGCTGATGTCGGTACTACAGTACGGTGATTGATGATTCCCTCTGCACATGCGGAGCAGATATGTTGTTAGGGTAAAGAAAGGTGTAGTGGTGCTTCAACCCAACCTGACCTGCCGGCAAGCGCCGAGTATCTTGCGATGCGCTTTTGCACAAAAAGCTTTCCTCTGAGCCGTGCGCTTCTGACGCCGAGAATCGCGCGGGCACCGCACGCGTCGGATGGTGCCTCCTAATCAAGCCTGCCTAAAACGCGCAATCGATGGCGAACCCGTGATACACCATGGCCTGAAACAGTAACATCGTAACAGTAACAGTAACAATGTCAGGTAAACAGCGGGGCAGGCGACCGTCACGGGGGCACATGACTCCGCCTCACAGCCTCCCCCTTCACTTCTCACGCTTCATCTCCGCAGTCACGCGCCTCTCCGCAGCGTTATCCGCCGCGTGCTGCGTGCTGCTTCTCGCCTCCGCCGCCTCCGGCGCCGCCCCCGCATCGTCCCTACTACCGTCCGCCCGGCACGCACTTTCCCCTCTTCACCAGCCGGCATCACGCGACGATGAGTCATCATCGTCGAATCACGGCTCGTCCGCCTGGTCGCTGCTACACCCGTTTCTCGATTTCGACAACTCAGACAATCTTGGCGGCGACTCCGGGGACTCGTCGCTACTAGAACAGCCGCAAGCGGCGCGCTCCCCGCCTCATCGCCTGCTCGTCGTACAGCAACAGCCCAGCGTCGCCGCTACCGCAGCTGGCGTCGCAACGAGTGCTCACGTCAACAAGCCTCCGCCGCCGCCGCCTGCGCCGCCGCTGCGCGAGGTGGAGCTCGACCCGTGCGCGCTGCAGGCGCTGCTGCCGCAGCTCTTTCCGCCCGCTCTCCTCGACCCCACCTGCTTCAACCACCTCTCGCTGCACTCCGCGCAGCCCTCCTCCCCGCTCGACTCCCCCCCGCACGGCGGCGCGTCCACGTATCCGTTGAGCGACAGTGGCAGCGGCGGTGGCGGGGAGGACGAGCCAGAGACGGCGACGCGGGGCGATCTGCTGGACGTGGCGCGCAACAAGTGGCGCGCCAGCACCGTGTGGGCGCCGCTGGAGGCGGAGGGCAGCGCGGAAGGCGCGGGAGGCGCGGGGGTGATGGGGGAAGTGGAGGTAGCGAGGGTAGCGGGGGTAATTGGGGGAGTGGGGTTAGCGGGGGGAGCGGGTGTAACGGGGGGACCGGGAAGAGCGGAGCCGGCGGCGGCGGCGGCGGCGGCGACTCTCACCCCCCCGAATGAAGTGATCACCGTGTGCCGCTCCGCTGGTAGGGCTCGCATGGTGGCTGCCGGTGATGGGGGGTGATGAGCGGTGATGAGGTGTGATGCGAGGTGATGGGAGGTGTGGTGAGTAGGTGATGGGTTCAGATGGGTTGAGATGCGTGGAGAAGGTTCGGTTATGGCCGTACGGATGGACAGTCTCACTGAGCCACTGCGCGGAGACTCCTTTCCTACACACGCATGGCATGGCATGGCGTGGTGACAGCAAAGCACAGAAAAGTGTGGAATGACAGCATGACACGTGGCATGGCCATCAGTCCACCTCAGCTGTTCTCTTCCCTTGCTTCCCTCCCTTCCCTCCCAAATCTTCTTCCTATGCGCCCGTTTTCCCTTGCCCACTCCCGTTTTCCCTAGCCCGCTCCCGTTTACCAGCATAGCCATCATCCTTCCTCCTCACCGTCCCCTCTCTCCCTCATCGCCACCCCCAGCCAGCATGCCCATCCCCGTCGACCTCACCTGTGGGTCTGTGGGCCTGTGGGCCTGTGGGTCTGTGGGCCTGTGGGCTGTGGGCTGTGGGCCTGTGGGCCTGTGGGGATGTGGGCCTGTGGGGATGTGGGACTGTGGCCTTACCTTACACTCCTCTTGCCTCTCCCCTCTAAGCCTCTCTCCCTCATCGCCACCCCCAGCCAGCATCACCATCACTCTGGACCTCAACTGCGCCCTCACCTCCCCTCTCGTCTCCCGCTCTCTTCCTTCCTTCCCCCCTCCCCTCGCTCCCCTGTCTCTCCAGGCCCAGCCACCACCACCATCAGTCCGGGCGTCATCTGTGAACGCTACCCAGGTCTCCCATGCACGCCTGAAATGCTCCCCGCCCCACTTCCTATCCCCAGCCCCAGCCAGCATTGCCACCAGCCCGGGCGTCATTTGTTAACGCTACCCAGTCTCCCATGTCATGCGCGCCTGAGAGGTGTCCTCCGCACCGCACTCCCTGTCCCAAGCCCCGGCCAGCGTCACCATCAGTCCGGGCGTCTTTTGTTAACGTTACCCTAGTCTCCCATGCACGCCTGACCAGTGCCCATGCCCCCCCACCCCACCCCCCCTCCCCCCCCCTTTTTTTCCCCTTTCCCCTCTCTCCCCCTTTCTCCTCTCCCCCCCTCCTCCCCGTCTCCGTCTGCCAGGCCCAGCCAGCATCACCATCAGTCCGGATCTCAGTGGGCAGACCTGGAGAGGCTGGGGCACGTCGTTGGCGTGGTGAGTGCGAGAGAGTGGTGAGTGCGAGAGAGCGGTGAGTGCGAGAGAGTGGTGAGTGCGAGAGAGTGGTGAGTGTGAGAAAGCATGACTTTATGATCATTCGTGGCTTTGCATGATGGCTGCAGGATAAACACTGTGTATGGCGTTGTGAGTGCATGGGGCTGTGAGTGCATGGGGCTGTGAGTGCATGGGGCTGTGAGTGCATGGGGCTGTGAGTGCATGGGGCTGTGAGTGCATGGGGCTGTGAGTGCATGGGGCTGTGAGTGCATGGGGCTGTGAGTGCATGACCCCCTCCCTTGTCCCTTCGACCACCTCGGTCTTTCTGTACCTAGGCCACCTATTTCCCGTCCATCTCAACTGCTCCCACCCTGCCTCTTGCCCTCCCCGCCTTGCCCCTTCTTAGGCAACTACATTGGCAAGCTGCCAGACAACCAGCTCACCACGCTCCTCGACCTTTCCCCTCCCCCTTCCCCCTTCGCCCTTCCCCCTTTCCTTCCCCTTCCCCCTCCTGCCCTCCCCCTGCCCTCCCCCTGCCCTACCCCTTCCCCTCCCCATCCACCAGGACTGGCAACTACATTGGCAAGCTACCGGACGACCAGCTGACCACGCTGCTGGACCTGCTCTTCTCACCGTCCACGGGAATCGGGTTCAACCTCGCGCGCTACCTGCTGGGCGCCAGCTTCAACGCCACCAACAGCCCGCAGCTCACCAAAGACACCTTTCACCAGGTCAACCTCCCCGGCTACAAGCCGACCGAGGCCGGCCCGTACGACTGGGCAGCAGACTGGCGGCAGCGGAAGGTGGTGAAAGGAGCGATGGAGCGCGGGTTGGATGAGGTGGAGGCGATAGCGTATTCCCCCCCTTGGTGGATGACCATCAGTGGGGACACCGCGGGGAATGTGGGCGGAGCGTCGAACCTCTCACAGGATAGGTACGGCGAGTTTGCCGAGTATCTAGCGACCATAGTGGACCATTTCCGGCGGGAGTGGAACGTGACGTTCAGCACGATGAATCCGGCGAATGAGCCGCTGGAGGGGTGGTGGCAGCAGGGGGGGAAGCACGAGGGGTGCACGTTTACTGCTGCTGAGCTGGAGCGGCTTTGTAAGGTCGTGGCGGCTGCGCTGAAGCGGAGGAAGCTTCCCACGCAAGTCGCGGGGTTCGACAGCTTCGTCGGGTTTACGGTGCGAAACGCAAAGAAATGGACAGGGCAGCTGCTATCCAGCCTGAAAAGGATATCTGTGCATGGGTATGTTCCCCCGCCGCCCACCACAACCGACACAAGGGAGTATATCGAGCAGCTCTATGTGTGGTTGGCGCGGGTGGGGATGGGTGTGGGGAAGGAGGTGTGGGTGTCGGAGATTGGGCCGATGTGGGCGGGAGGGGAGGACACCGACGTGGGGTTGTTCATGATGCGATCGGCGATCCAGGCTATCAACATCATGGGTGCCTCGGCGTGGATTTACTGGCAGCCGATCGCGCCGACCCTTCCTTCCAACCCTAATATGTTCAAGTGGGCGCTGCTCACAATAAAGCACAACGGTGTTTCGGACCCTACGGTCATTCCGCTGGAAATGACGTTTTCAAAAAAGTTTTACATGATGAAGCAGATGGCCCGGGCGTCGCCGCGAGGGAGCGTGCCGCTGAGAATAGACACGAGCGACGGGTGCCACCACTGCATTGCGTCGTTCTTCAACCCCGATAAGAACTTCATCTCTATCTATATAGTGAACCAGGATGGTGGGGACTACATTATTTCATTCAAATTCGAGTTTTTTGGGCTGATGGATGGGGGAAGCCCGTGTGTGGTGGAGGTGCAACGGACGTCTGGAAGCGAGGATGCAGAGGTGGTTTCCACCGATAGTCTCACTGAAATGCCGCAGACTCTGCCTGTGACCGCATTAGGCAGAAGCATCACTACTATAATGATATCCAATGTTGTATGGTTGTAGAGTTGCAGATTGGTTCCCCCCCAAGGAACAAGGGACATTAGAGTTAAAATGGGATGAAGCTAGTACCGTACCTTATCACCCCGGATATAAGCGCACCTGCGCTTACAATGAAACAGAGTTTCTTAGAGGGGTGTGCATCTAATTGAGTAAAAAGTGAGCGTGCATGTACCTACAAAAGGAAAAAGGTGTATTTTTAACTTACCGAATTGAAGCTCTCAACAAGGCGAACACACACGAACGTTGTTCACGTGGGATAATGCCTGAAAACCAGGGGAAAACATCTGCGATTCTGCTTCCCACCGCACAAATGAGTCCAGAAGCATTGCGGCATCTGCCTGCGCTGACTCAGAAACTGCCGTGCGGCCCAATCACAGCGTCATGCGCTGCCAACCAGGCAGGGCCTCAGATGTCAGGAATTTCACCCTGAATTCCTGAAGTTTGACCCTTGTTTTTTGTTGCGACCCTGATGGATCAGCCTTTTGTTTTTAGCGACCCTGATGGATCAGTGTTTTATTTTGTAGAACACTGAATTTTCAGTGTTTTGTGTTTGCAGACACTGACGAGTCAGTGTTGTATCCGGGTTGACCCTGGAACCGAAACTCCGTGTTTCTCGCATATTGGCGCGCCGTCATCATTCATGTACCCAACGAGGATTGACGCCACCCTGCGGCTCAATTTTGGCCAGTGTTTGCGCAAAGGCGCTATTTGATTGGCTGTTCCAGGTGTTTCAATGCTTCGTTGACTCTGACTTCTGCCAACACTTGTTATTCTTGGCCTCGCTGCGCACAAATCCAGAGTGGACCAGTGGTGAATGGTGGCATCAGATCAGATTCACCACGCAAGGGCGTGGTTGTGCGGTTTGACCAGCCGACCCATGCCGCAGGGGGTCTCGTTCATTCATGCTCTCCACATCACGACCGGGCCTGCACCCCTTCTTTAATTATTCTATCAGTGTTTTTTGAAAAGGCACCCTGTGTGATCAGTGTTTTTTTCTTACTAGCCCTGAAAAATCAGTGTTTCTAAGCAGGCAACACTGAAGATCAGTGTTACACCTCCAAGGGACCCTGAGTGCTCAGGGTACCCTAAAACGAATCTGAGGCCCTGCAACCAGGTGCTTTCGAGTCGAACCCTCTAGAAGAGGGTGGAATATTCCATGCCAGCATAGCAGATATCGGGCCACGCACAGTCCTCTGCGGGTTGAGGCGGGGGTTTCCCGTCATTTGTTGACGAGGACCTCGAGCCACCAATCCGACGGGGTCCCCTCTGTTGCCCATGTTTGCATCCACTCTTTCATATTTTCATTCGGGTTTTCTTTCAAGCCCGCCTGGCTGCGGAAGCAATGGCTGAATTTACTGGGACCATCTTCCTTTTCGTCGGAAAATCCTAGACCCGCATGGCGACTCACCGAAGTAGGCTATGTTAGAATACTAGGAATGAATGCATTGGGTGAGGGAAGGGGGGATACAAGAAAGATGTCGAGAAAGTTGTTGTACCATCTAAAGGCTAACCTCACTACAGCATGAATATATATAATTGTATATGTTTTGACACACCCCCATAGGCGAAGTGGGGGATAGCTAGAGCATGAAATGGTCACACGACCAATCAAGAGAAGCAACAAAACAAAGCTCAACAATGCTCTTGGTGGATCACAAAGTCACCACACAGTCCGACCACGAGTAAGTGGCCACAAGGCCAGTTCACAAGTAGAGCTATTAAGAACACATGCACTACAATGATCACATCCTATCAAGGGTAAGCATGCAGGCATATATATATATATGTATATATATATATATATATCACTTTACAAGACAAAGTCACGAGGTAAGCAAGTGAGGTAGAGTAGGCTCCAGGCCTAGAGCAGTGCAGAAACGCTGATGATCACCAGACACAAGTGCCTTGGTGAAAATATCAGCAGTGTTGGCCCGAGAGGCCACGTAAGCAAGACGAAGCTGACCATGATGCTGCAGCTCACGAGCGTGGAAGTAAAGCAAAGCGATGTGCTTCGTTCTGCTCTCCAGTCTCTGCTCCCAACACAAGGCCATCATAGCCTTGTTGTCGACCTACAGGACCGGAGGAGCACGCGGCTGCTTACCCAAATCGGTCAGCAAGTAGGTCAGCCAGCGTAACTCTTGTGCAGCCATGGCCCCTGTGTAGATCTCAGCCTCACAACTAGAGCCGAGAACAGAAGACGAGCGGGTAGACCTCCAAGAAACTGAACCGGAGACAAGACTGAAGGTGTAGCTCTGTGACGACCGCTATGTAGCCTGGTCGTCTATCCAAGAAGCGTCCGAGTGTCCTTTGAGTACCACCAAACCCCGTCCTCCAAGCACGAGCCCCATGCCTGATGTACTGCACAAGTAACGTAGCACCCTCCTAGTAGCCCGCCAGTGCTCTGGTCGGTGTCTCCCAGGCGCAACGTAGCATGCCAGGATGCTGAGAGGGAACGCGAGGTAAGGTCGAGTGCAGGTCATCACGTACATGAGGCAACCCACAAGCTCTGGATACGGACCACTCCGCTCTACGGACTCGTCCGAAGGTGGAGCTGAGAGCGAGTGGCCCGTAGGCAGAGGAGTGGACTATGGCAAGGAGAACTGGAAGCTGAAGCGCTGAAGGACCTGCTGCACCACGTGTGTTTGAGACAGAGTCATGGTGCGCCGTGCTCTGTCCCAGGTGATATGCAAGCCAAGATAGTTGCGCAGCTCACCCAGGTCTGTGCACGTGTGTCTCTTCTGGAGCTCCGACTTCACAAGGGCCAGTGCCTCAGTGTCACCAGTGGCAAAAACCAAGTCGTCGACGTACACGAGGATGTAGAACGGCGGCAGCCAAGTGTCGGTGCGTAGAAACAGCGACGAGTCAGCCGTCGAAGGAGCAAACCCAAAAGCCGCAAGCGTAGTTCTCAGAGTGTCGTGACACTCACGAGGCGTCTGGCGGAGACCATAGATTGGTGGCCGGAGGCTTGACTGGGTACCCTCAGGAAAAGACCTGGTGAAGCCAGGTGGGCGGCGCAGCCAGATCTCTCCGTGTAGGCAGCCCTACAAGAAAGCTGTGCTGAAGTCAAGCGAGTGGAGCTCGTAGTCACGCTGTGCTGCAACGTGCAGTAACATCCAAAGAGTGGTCATCTTTGGGGTGGGGGAGAAGGTCTGGAAGAAGTCGACCCCTAGTTGCTGACTGAAGCCTCGTGTAATATAACGCGCCTTGAAGACAAGCGGAGAACCCGGCGGCCGCTCCACCCTGAAAATCCACATTCCATCGACTATGTTTGCCCCAGGTGGGGGAACTGCGCCGACGTAAGTGCCTGTGGACTTCCATGATGCCATCTTTGCGTCCATGGCTGTCAGTCACTGAGAGGAGTAAGGACCCATAATCGACGGGTCGGGATGTCTAGTGCAACCGCAAGACACTCGAGCTCAAAGTGCATGTCCTCAAGGATCTGTGCCAAGGGCACATCCACCCCCGACGGATGGAGGACAGTCAGACACAGACTCAGTGACAAGACTCGCAAAGTAGTCGAGACGACACGCAGCAGCAAAGTCAACAAGCTTAGTGACCAAGGCAGTCGCAGTAGAAAACTTAAAAGTAGGGTCAATGACAAGTGTGGCTAGAACACGTATAATAATAGGACTAGCAGCACGAGCAAGTTCTGACTCAGGGTCAGGAATGTCAGTCAGAGAGGATGCTGGAGGAGACGGCAGAGGAGAACGCTGTGCAACGGAGGAAGGACGAAGTGCCATAGTGTGCTCACTGGGAACAGGAGGAGGACGAACAGGGCGAGCACAAGAGGCTCGGGCACAAACATGCGAGGTAGCGGGAGAGGAAGCACGAGACTCAGGCTTCCGACGCTCGGTCAGGGACTCGGGCAACGGGGAGTAGCGCAAACGAAAAGGGAGAGGAGTGCTACTAAGCAAAGGCTCCTGTGACGGGTCAGGCGGTGGAAATAGTAGAGGAGTAGTACCAGCAACAGGGAACTCGGTAGCCGCACCGGTAACTCCAGCTCCAGGACCTCCAGCACCAGTAAAACCAGCTCTAGTACCTCCAGCTCCAGTACCTCTAGCACTAGCACCTCCGGCTCCAGTACCTCAAGTGGCAGCCACCACCTCCAGCAGCACCGGAGTCTACAGCAACAAGCAATGAAGGTGGTGAAGACGGGCGAGGTGGAAAGCCAGGAGGGGTCTACAAGCGCGGGGAGCGGCGAGAGGCCGCAGTCTTGTCAGCAGCAGGGTCACCCTCCTCAGCCGGGCCAGGAGAGACCTCCAAAGGCTCAACCAAGGGGGGTGGTGTGACTTGAGACACACCTGAGGGAGCAGGACGCGAAGGGGGGTGGGGGTCTACCGGGGGGGAACCTGGGACCAAGAAAACGAGCGGTGGGGGGACAGGAGAAGACACGTGGGGGAGGAGACGGTAGTAGCAAACCGACTCGTCAAAGGTGACGTCCTGGGAGGACAGAACACGACGCGTGGCTGGGTGGTAGAACTGCCAGCCAGGCGCGTTAGTGGGAAAGCCAAGGAAGACGCGGCGAATGGTGCGAGAAGAGAGCTTGTCCGTAGTGGTATCGCGGACATTGGTAAACGAACCCCAGACCCGAAACACCGACGCATTGCCAACCTTCCCCGTCCAACGCAGTGTAGGCGAGGACTCTGGCTCGGAGACACGGGGCCAGAGGTTGAGCTGATGCGCAGCGTATCGGACCGCAAACGACCACAGAAAAAGGGGAGAAGCCGCATGGATCATGGAGGTGCAAGCAACCTCCATGACCAAGCCAATGCGGCGCTCAGCGATCCCATTTTGCTGTGGAGAAGCCGGAAGCGTGAACGACTGCGTGATGCCCTTCTCACGACAAAAGTCCTCAAGGAGATCGGAGGAAAACTCACCTCCACGGTCAGAGTGCAGACGGAGAACCGGAGGTCCTGGTGGAGCCGTGTGCTCTGATACCATGTCAAAATCCTTGCCACTAGACCACTGGGATAAAAAGGCTTGTTTGTGTAGCAGGTCCGTGC